GAAGTCTAGTGAACTGGAAGCCTGGAAGTGTTACGTGCAAAGTAATCAAAAATGTTCCCTCAGCATGTCTCAATAATGCGCCTACTTTTTTCGACCTTCCCATTTATGGGCCAATGTTCAAAGGGCAGAATTCGTACTATATATTCAACTGCTACACATCTACGCTCAACTGGCCAACCCATGACCCTTGCGGAAGCAATGCACTGAAACACGTCACGGGTGTTCCAAATCCTCATGGCAACATTTACATACGCTAAACGGGAGGCTAAAATCGATCCATAGTTTAGTACAATTAATACGAGTATTTCACATTAATTTCGCTTGTCAGGTTATGGAGGGATTTGTACCAATTTTTGAGAATTTCATTATGAGTAATAATGGATTATAACTCTCAATTCACTTCTTGAAACATGTTGTGATGCCTTAGCATTTTAAGTCGAGAAGTACGATAAAGACATTATTGTACTTTAGCTTCAGTGCTGTTAAATAACTTTAATAACTGTTTAATAACAGTTTAGATTCAGTGAATCTTAAATCTTAAGTCTTGAATATTGTTAATATCTCAAAAACAGCAAAAACAGTCAAATTTGTGTTTATGACTTTCCATTTTTTTCCTATCCAACCAATTTAAAAAATAATTTAACACACCAATAGATCTTTTAACATAAAAATGGCGTTATTACTTTCAATTTGTGTAGAACAAAACACTGCTAAATAAATTAAACTAGCTCTTACTCTACGTGGATCCCTTCTTATGTCTTACTCAATGAGTGATATTACACTCCACTCAAGATCACAATTTTTAATTTTTTTTTCTTTGCATACTTCCTTGGAAAAAAAAGTCAGTGTAAAAGGGTAAAATTGGAAAAACGACGGCCATAAAAATGCACATAATAAGATAAATTTTTTATGAAAAAAAACCCAGAAATTTTATTATCGGGCATCGTCCTTTAATTTTTAAGAATTCTTATTCGATTTTCTAAGTATATCCATCGACGGAAAGTAAAAATAAATATATATATATATATTGATAAATGATAAATTAAGAAAAAGGGAAAAATAATCACAGCGTACTGAAAGTTGTTTTTATCCAATACTAATTAACTTAGTTATAATGCAGCTGTCAGTAACACGAAGGTATATTTTATTCATCAATCGCTAGGTTATCTTTATTGGAATGACGCGGTGTGTACTGATAACTGTACATATCCAACGGCTAAGACTGACTAACTGATCTTAGCCTGAAAACATTTCCAAAAGTAGAAAAATTATCAAACAATAGTCAAAGTTTCCA